GGGGGGGGGGGGGGGCGGCTGTGGAATGCTGGTCTGTGGCTATTCAAAAATTTAATACCTTATGCTATGTATGCCTAAAATAGTTGAAATTTCTTCCTCTTCTGCTTTTATAGTTTGCTATCCTTTTTCATATTATGTTATGCAAGAAATAGGTGAAAGCAAAGAGATAGGAATCTTGTGTGCTACTTCATATTCATACTTGGGTGTATGGATATATCGTTTTAAAGTTCTAATCTCACATGCTACTTCATCTAGACCTACAGCCCTTATTTTTCTTCGAGGTCTTGTACCATAAGCTTAAATTAATTGGTCAATGGATGTTTAGATGAACAGGTGTATGTGTGTGTGTGCATTTTTTTCATCGGTAGCTTGACATATATGATGGGTATTTTGGTTGTTTATCATGCGGTCTGATGGAGCACAATATGATGCAGATGAAGAGGATCACATTATAATAGCAGCCCATGCAATTCATGGCAATAAATGGGCTGCAATTGCAAAACTCCTCCCGGGTAGAACAGATAATGCAATTAAGAACCACTGGAACTCCACACTGAGGCGCAGAGGTATTGAGCCTAGCAGGTTTAAACCAGCCTCTGGCAGCATGTTGGAACACCACAGGCCTGATAGAACCAAGGCATCCTCTGAAGAGACCTTGTCAAATGGTAACAATGATGCATTCAATTCTCCCGAGGGAAGAGATGTAAGCCTGATGGAAATTGAACCCAGCCAGTGTGAAGAAAAAATTCTAACAAAAGAGGGCCATACTGTTGCTGAAAATGACGATCACACTCTTTTCGAAAAGGACCATCCCTTCTTCGCTGAAAAGAATCATCCCACCGTTACTCGTCCAGTAGCAAAAATTGGTGCATTTAATGTTTATAATCCGCCATGTGGCGCAGCAGCTGGTTCTGTGTATTCAAGGCCAGCCCCAATGCAGGGACCCATGATCCAGTTCTCAAAACCAGACTATGGGATCTGCAAATATTTTGAGGGAGTTGTTGATGAGCCAACAGTTCCTTCACGATGTGGCCATGGTTGCTGTGCAGGTCCAAGCGGGGGCTCCTCTTCAAGCTCAGTGTTGGGTCCCGAGTTCATTGAATATGAGGAACTTCCCCTGTTCTCAGGTCACGAGTTGGCTGCCATTGCTACAGATTTGAACAACATTGCTTGGATTAAAAGTGGCCTTGAGAATGCTGACACCAGAGTACCAAACAATGGGACTGCTCAAAGATTGTCTCAAGGTTCAGAACAGAGCATAAAAAATGACCACTTTCGCTTTGAGGAGGGAAGGAACAAGCTGATGGGCATGATGACAGATGTTTCAACCCCGATGCCTTCCGCAAATTTCGCTTTGCCGACTGAAGTTGAAGGCTTGAGCTGATACCTATTACCTGGTTTGTTTTTAATCTGTCTTGTCTTATAATGAGAACAGCATAGAATTACATAATTTAGTTGCAATAGTTGTCATCTTAAATATGGTATGCTGGGGGGGTCTCATCTTGTGAAGAGTACTTTTTTTAGCTGGGGAAAAAGAACATGACCTTTTGGCAATGTAGAAATATCAGCTTTGAAACAATAGTTTCTAATAGGGACGTTAAAATATGAGACCACTCAAAATTAGAGGGTTTAAGTTTTTTTAAGCTACCTGTTTTGTAAACGAGCGGACCGACCCGATCAATAAACGAATTAGATATAAGTGAAGTCAATCAAAAAAAATATACAACACAACTCGTTTTTATATTAGTTATACACGATTTATATAAAACATGAATTAATAAACTAATTAAGTATAGGAGTGAAGTGTTTTTTGACAGGAAACTCTATAATACCAAAAAAAAATTTCAATACCAGTACCACCGGTTACTATTTTGTATGATAAAGTTATAATTTTAAAAAGATAAGTTACAATTGTTCAAGAGAGATTGTAATCGATCACAGACAACCATGATTGATCATGAAAAATGTAATATCGATTTTAATATTTCATGATTGATCCTATCATTTGAAGTTATAATTTACATCTTAAAAAAGTTGTAACTTAATCTTAAAAAATTATAACTTTCGATAATGGTACAATTAGAAGTGCCGTAGAAGTTTCTGTTTTTTGACATAAATTCATTAAAATTCGACATAAACTTGTTTCACCTGATATGATCAATAGGCCTAGTTGCTATGAATATGACCATTGGAAGGACACAAAATGGTCTCTTGCAAATTGAGTTTAAGGACAGTTATTACAAAATGACACAATTAAAGAGTTTCTTTTCCAATTTTGTCTTAGTGAACTTTATGCCAACTTGCTTCTATGGCTCTGTAGAATGTCTATCTGGGAGAACACCTTGCTTGAATTTTTGATTTCGATAAATCAATTTGGACGCTCGCAGAAGGTTGATGAGTTTTTATTTCTCAAATGATCAGCTATTCAACTTTTTCCACTAAACGAGGATGTAACTTTCTCTCTTGTTTATACAAGAAGATAGTTTTTTGTTTTTTGGTTTCATGATGAAAAATTATCTTGATCATGCATTATTTAGACTCATATATAGAACATAGTCGTTGATGGTGCTTGAAATTGTTATACCCAGTTGCAGAATAACTGCTGTGTGAGGTCCAGTGGGGGGCTTTATAAATGCTTGGGTTAATGGGGAAGTAAGTGTTGATGTTGGATTAAAAAACAAGATATAAGTGGTTCACCTCAGTCGGAAGATTAAGACTACGTCCATTATAATGGAGACTTTTGCTCCTAGAAAGAGGGGGGATTATGTTGCTTGAAGAAGAAGATAGTGATTCTAGTGAGTCTCTTGGCTGGGAGCTTTCTTTTTTTACACAATGTGTCTCAAGTAAAGCCATGAAACTACTTTTTTTTTTATATATCTGGTCATTTAGGGTTTCTGCGATTCTTTTTTTTCTTAGTCGATTCTGTGGTCCCCTCTTCATTTGTTTTGTAGCGGGGTCTGTCACTCTGATGTATTCTGTGCCCACGATCTTCAGAAATGAAATGTATCCAAATATTCTCTTTATCAGAGAATATGGCACGATTGGAGTTGCTTGGGGTCCATTCTGTACCGAGCTCCTTATTCTCGAGTAGGCTTATGTCACTGTGTTTGATATGACTGGGCCGATGTATCCCGAACTAGTAGATCTTGGACTTCTATGTCCTTGGATTGTGGCCCAATCCCATTGTAAGGTGGGTGCTCCGCAGGAGGACCATTAGACTCCAAATGGATGGCCCAAGCTTAAAGCCCATCATTATTGGTTGACATCTAAACATTGTGTTTATACAACAATGTCTATACAAAATTGGTAATGTATATTGTAAAGCTTACCATTTACATTTTGTAATGGTATTTTAGGTCTTCGTCGCAATAGTTCGTTAAATTTTCGCGTGTTAATGTTTTGATTTTTCCCAAATTGTGAATGAAAGGACACGATGAAATCAAAAAGCATAAAGAAAGCAACATATAACAGAATGTTGACCACCCGATTCTTGTGGAGTTGCCTAAAATTTGGTACCGTGTTGATATTTATTATTTTTGTAGATATTTTTATTATTTTTAAGGTATTTTTATCATTGTTGTGATACCGAGATAAATACAACAATGATAAAATACCTATAAAAGTGATAAATTTTTTTGTCTCGAAAAAAAATTGTAAAAATAATTACCATAATGTCAATACTATATACATGTAAAAAAAAATTATTAGTCAAGATAGTTTCAATGGGAAAATTTTGAGTTATTATTTCAAAGTTTCAAAAAATTTATAATTAGGATGAATCTCTATTAGTTCTTACGTCATCTAGCCCACCCTAGTCATGCCTTTTTTTTGGATAAAAGCTTATGTGAACATGTTATAGGTTTCGTATGAACGTGCATGGCATGATTTTAAAGACTAGTCTAACCTCTAATTAATTGCCTTTGGCACCAACAATCACGCCAGGATTAATTGTATTCAGTTTCGACCAAATTAAATTAGGCACCAAAACCTATCCAAATTTCAAATAAAATGTCGGCCGCATTTGACGGAGGTTCCACCTTGTAAAGCAGGAAGATTCAATACTAATGCTCTGTTTTGGTATAATAAAAAAATAGAAGAATGAAAAATTGAAAGGATAAATAAAATATTATATTTGATAAAAAAAAATAATAGTAATGATAAAAAAATGGATAGATTAACTTTTCTTCTAACTCACTAAAATCAATCACTCTAAAATCGGAAAGAAAGTATGTGAAAAGTTAATTATTTGTATTGAGATGTATCTTATTTGTCTATATATTATGTATACATTAATTTCATATAAAAATACAATGATAAAATATTTATATATATAAAATTAAAAAATAATTAAAAAATATATTTTTTTCATCCTAACTAGGGGTGAAAATTTCGATTCAACACGATGATACGATTCGAATTCGACAAGAATTTTTTGACACGAACTTAAAAATGACCTAACCCACAAACAAGAAATATAAAAAACTCATAATTTTATGACTAAGCACGAATCTGACACAATATGACTCGATTGTCACCTCTATTCTTAGTTAACACAAAAAAAAAAAAAATTAGTTATTTTTATTTTTTATCCATCCAACTAAACATAAAAAAAAAAAAAAAAAAGAGAATAATTCTTATTTTTTATCCCTAAAAGATAAAAAATGTGACTCACCTACTTTTCAACCTTCCTATAACAACGCGGAGTATAAGGGAAAAACAAGTACTTTAAGTGCGTCAAAGGTACATTAGAGCCAAAGCAGCAAAGAAAGTACGAACTTCTGGTGGGAACATTCATTCACCTCTTCGAAATAGAGTGACTTCTCTCTTTTTCTTTTTCTTTTACAAGGAACCATTTCTTTTTTTGTTTTTTTTTTGTTTTTGCAATGTGATTCAAGGATATACAATCTAGAAGCAAAAAGCTGGCTGGAATGGAGAAATTAGTATACCAGAAATTGGACATATTAATAAAAACTTTTGAAAGACTTTTTGGTGTTTTTTTTTTGCCTAACGTGTCGAAATCTATTAAGAGTATTTGATTATTTCCTAAGTTCTTCATATATTGAATAAATACATAAATAAATACTTAGAAATGACCTTGAGAAAAGACTCGAATTCAAGGTGCTCATGAGTAAAGGTGTCAAACGTGTCAGGTTAAATAGGTGACAAGTGAAAAATATATAAATCCGTACACAAAAAAATCTTAACACAAACACGGCCCGTTTAATAAACGGGTAACACGACATGACTCGTTTAACCCGTTTAATTTGAAAAAAATTATATTAACAAATTTTAATACTCTATTTTTTTTATTACCAATAGCACTTATCTTAAAAAAGAAGATTTTTTAGTCAAATCTCATAAAATTTTTTTAGTCAAATCTCATAAAAATAAGACTTGAAGGCCTAAAAAAAAAAGTAAGAGACAATTACTTTTTATAGGCAACTCAATCCTCTCTATCTCCCCTCATTTTTCAATGTGGGACAAATAAGACTTGAAGACTTAAAAAAAAAAAGTAAGAGGTCATTGTTTTTTATAGGTAACTCAACCCTCCCCATCTCCCCTCATTTTTCAATGTGGGGCAAATAAGACTTGAATGCTTAAAAAATAAAAGTAAGAGACCATTGTTTTTGTATAGACAACTCAACCCTCCCCATCTCCCCTCATTTTCTAATATGGGACAAATAAGACTTGTCATTGTTTTTGAAGTGTTTCTCATCTCTTTTGTTTTTGAACTACTACTTTACTTTTTTTTTTATTGATTTCTTTACTTCTTTTTTTCTTGCTAATTTCTTTCAATAATTATTAATTTATTATTATATTAATTTTATTTAAACGGGTAAACGTGTGATAAACGGTTTGACAGGTCTCACCCAAACACGACTCGTTTATTAAACGTGTTTGGCGTGCCGACTCGTTTATTAAACGTGTTTGGCGTGCCAACTCGTTTATCACTTAAACNTCATCACTTTGCCCCATTTATTTGTGGTCTATTCACATGCACCATGAATATACCAAACAAAAGGACCTCTCCATTTCTTGTACATATATATCTTAAGCCACTAGAGTTCTACGGTTTGGATCATGATGTCAACGCTATGATTGGTGTCAATGTCATGTCCTTAGTGTAGAGAATGTCAGCTCTTGGACCACATGGCCCTAATGAATTGATTATCATATAAATTCAAACCTCTTGACCTATTAGATTACACTTGGGTGTTGGAATAGCTGGCCTGGACAAGTGACAACCCAGCTGAGTTTCTATGTCTAATGTTCACCTAGAATTCCTCTAATTCTTAAAGTTCATTGTTGTCAAACATTTCTGTTTGTTTTCTTATCCCAGCTCTGCTCATCCTTTTTGTACAGACTACTTNTTTAGTCATGTTA